ATATTTTTTCTAATAAGTGATTAACATGTTCTTCTAAAGTTATGCTTATTACTTTATAAATTTGAAATGAAACTTTTCTTAATATCTCCCCCCTTATGAAAGAAGATGTATTATATATTTTTGTAGTAATTATTTTACGAGACTGTGTATCTAGTTGTGGACATCTAAGACTTATATTATTTAATCTTTGAATAAATGGATTGTATAACTTAAGAAAGTTATTTCCAATTATTAATTGTAAACCTGTATTTTGTTTATAAAGACTTGGTAAATGAAACCTTTTTTCTTCTATTAACAATACTAAGTCTGTTGCTTTATAATCGATTCTTATTGTTCTGTTATTTGCAATTCTTACTATAATTGATTTATCTAATTTTTTCCAATATTTAATGGGTAATATGGATTCTTTTGCTAGACATATCGTTGCTCCTGTGTCTATATATGCTAGTATAAATTTATTAAATAATTTAACTTTTATAAATGAACTGTTTTTACTCATCTTCTGATTCAGATGTTTCTAAATCACTATCTGTTTCTGATTCTAAATCATATATATCAAAATCTAATAGTTCGCCTTCTTCATATTCTTCTTCTATAGGTTCATTACCTAAAGAAAATATCATTTTTAACTTCTTTTCTTTTTCTGGCATGTTTTTAGGACATTCATTTGCATAGTGTCCTATTTCTTGACATTTTCAACATCTGCAATTCTTTTTCCCTTTAGGACAATATTTAGGTTTACCTAAGTATTTTCCTTGTTTTCTAAACTTTCCTTTATATTTTGTTTTCCACGGTTTTCTAAATGTCTTATATCTTCTTGGTCTATATCGTCTATTAAACTTATTGTATTTATAATATCTTTTCTTTTTGTATGGGTTATAACAACCAAATTCTTGTGGTACACTTTCTAATTATTTGCAACATCTTGAATCGACCTTAGTCATTTCATGGTGTTCTAATTTTCTTATACAAAGTTCATCTCTATATTCTTTTGCATATTTTTCTAGAATTCCTAGAGTTTTTTCTTCTTTTGTTTCACTAATTTTCTTCTGAATATATTTATTCATTTCATATTTAAGCTTACTTTCAACTATTTCTATTAGTCCTGATCGATCCTTAATTTTATAGAAATTTTCTCGTACTTGGCAGAAAAAGTTTTCTATGTAGCATACATTACATAGCTCCATATTTGTTGGAAATCTAACTACCTTATCTTTTTGTGTTTCTTTTGATTCTTGCCCTGTAATTCCTAAAAATTCTTTTAATAAATTTTTTGCTAATTCTCTTAAGGCTGCTATTTTATATTCTGCTCCTATTTCTAGAGCACTGGCGTCAAGATTTAATAAAACTTGAGTATTTTCTAGATAATCAAATAATACTCCAGATGTTTTGTATCTTATATAATTAACAAAATCGGTTAATGTCATTCCATTTATCATTGAATTGTTAGTTTGAACTAGTAATTTTAGTTGATTTGTCCAAGTAACTATTAGATCTTCTGCATTGGTTGCACAATCTATATTTAATATTCCATTAGATAAATTTCTTTCTTTTTCTACATATGCTGATGGAATATTTTTTCTTTATTTTTTCTTGATGATAACTATAATCATTTTTATATATAAAATCTCTAAAACTACTTTCTACATAATTATTATGTGAAGTAGATGCTTCATTATTATTTGTTCTTGGTCGTTTTGGTGATAAAGGTGGTGTTGTATGAGGTTTTTGATCAGTCATGTTAAATGTTGGTTCATCTTCATCTTTACTATCTATTCTGTAGATTATTCCTTGTTTATCCTCATCATCTATTTTTGCCATTCTAGTTTCTTCAATATTACATTTTTCTAATAATTGTGTTAATCTATCTATATCATCCATTATAACTTGTTGGTGGTTCTATTCGAATTTGTTTAAATAATTTTTTCCGTGATTTTTCTTTTTGTACTAAATTTTGTGGTTCTTTTATTATTTCTTTTATTTGGTCTAATTTTTCGAATGTTTCTATTTGGGTCTTTTTTATTATTTCTATGAGTGTTCCTATTTGTTCTGACATTCTTGGTGGATCGCTCATAATATTTTTTCTTTACTTAGTTGCCTTAATAATTTTTCTAAATAGCATTTTCCTTTGATTTTGCCTATAGCAAAATATGGTGTGCTTTTAGCACTTGAATAGTTAAAATATGGCCACATGTTTTATTTTTATTGGTGGATTCTAAAGATGGGTAGTACCCTGGTAGCATGAAACAATTCCTTTTCTTTAGGTGGACTTTTACGAGCTTGCATAATTATTGAAGTGAGGATGAGGAGAAAGCAAAGTAAGATACTGGTTTTCCTGGTCATGGGCCAAACCATTTTGTTGAATGTGTATGGAGTTGGTGTGAAATATTATGGCATGAAGGATTTGTATTTATAGAAGGAGAAATGGATGAATTAGTTGGAAATAATAAAAGAATAATTTGATGAGTATATTGAAAATAATTCACCCCTTTTTTCTTATACGATTTTCTTGTTGACTTTTCGGATGAGAATATATGATCCAAGATCGTACTTTGGGATTCTTTTCTTCCATTCCTCCAATGAGATCTTAAATTTTGCACCGAGGCCATGAAATTTGGTAACCGGAATTATTACTGATGAGGTTGGAACTCCAAGAGTTTTCAAATTCATTGACATCATTGATGTCTTTTCTATTCACGTCATATGAACATTCTATTTGTTGGGTAGAGTTGTCTAAGCGGGTTGAGAAACAAACAATTTATTCAAATAAGGTCCTATTCAATTATATTAGGTTTAGTGATCATGATATCGTTTAGTCTCACAATTCAAACTTTCTTTATCCTATAGTCTTTCTTATTAAACAGTCTAATCGTGTGACCGACCTAGATTACCTTGAGGTAGTGTGCTGCCAATGCTGAGATCAAACACCCAGCTCACCTGGTCGATCTTATGACCAGTCGTCCATTCAGGTCGAGCTTCAACTAGGTCCTTCGAGGGCCCTGACTCGACCTGTTATTACTTCTTCAATCCTACACATACTCTTTGACCTGTGCACCTTCGATCTTTCTTCAAACTATCAGTTCACCAGGTTCGATCAGGTTGTCCTTGGTTCAAGTCGACCTGGTATGGTATACATATCAAGTATTGATGTCTATTAATTAAACATGGGTAATCTCCTCATGTTTAAGACATTGAGGTCTATTAATTAAATTAATTAATTAACTCCCCGACATTAATATCACTTAACTTTATTATTATGTTGAAACTTAATTCACATGTAGGATTAAACATAATAATCCCCTTGAACTCATTTTGGGAACACCATCAACCTGACACATTAGGACACAGTGCCCGTAAATCAAAGTTGTAAACATTGAATACAAATGCCCGTTATTATATTACAGAATCAGAGAGCAAGTAATAACTTACAAAATGATACCTCCCAAGGAAACTATTGAATTGGATCTCAAATTGATGGGTTAGTGTGAGCTTATCCATTCAGTTATGCACTCTTCGAATAGGAATCCGTATTCTGAAAGATCCTAATCATTTGTGGTCTGTTCAATATGCTCAAAGTGTAATAATATAATTCATTAGTGAAGATCAAGTAAAGCCAAATTACACTACAATTGTTCATGTCTAGGTTGTGGCATACATTATACAATGAACTAATAGTATGATCTTCTGTTCTATAGGATGAACCATATTATCTACAATGTAAAATAAGAGAACAATTTGCATTACTATTTAACATAAATAAAATGGAAAAACACAATTTTGACCGAATGTGATTTTCATATTCAAAAACTGGAAACAAGTTCGTAACAAAGTCAAGCTTTCAGTATACAAACCAACACTCTTCTTAACCCCCGTCTGCACCAGCAATGAATGAACCATCTCAAACTCAAGGGAAGAAATTCAAGGCACCTTCAAAAAAGACCAAGACTTCAGCTCTTGCCTTTCGGTGCCCATGGGCTCTCTTGGCCCTGGCGACTCCGACGAGTTGAGTGGTGACTCCTCGTGAAAGGTCGTAAATCTCCGCAGACGCCTGACTTTGGTGTCTCTGAACCTTCACTATCACATGCTCCTGAGGATGGTTAACGAGATGTTGAGGTGACTAGAATTGTCACTACTGCTCGTAGATCTCACCGACCAAGGACACACTCTCGCTTCGATGAACCTTCTCTTATTCGCGGCATTGCGCCAAAGGCCGAGGATGACGCATACGACCTCAAGAACGCCTACTCTTATCAGTTTACTCTATTTCATCTGCGTTTCGTCATTCTCAAGTCTTCTCTCTTATGTTCTTTTCACCCCGAACACCCTATTCTCTTGTCTCACCTCACATAATTGGTTGTTTTCAATTTTATTAAGCCTTTAAGCATAGAGAAACATGTGGTTTCTGTGGGTTGCTTTTGTCCTTGTATAGTGTCCAAGTTCTATGCAAATTTGTGTTCTTTTGTGTGTATGATGTTAGTTCATCCTGTTGTTTTATGGTCTTTGTCTGCAACCACATAGTCGATTTTAGCCCTATTGTTATCAATGCCTATTTGGTTTTACTTATCATCCTGAGGGTGAGACTCTTGATGAGAACCTTGATGAGGTCATTCATGCCATAACCGATGGGCGCTTGACAAAATAGATTGATCAGATCATTTTTATGATGAGCCTCACCATAGGCTAACGCACTTCAAAAAATAGGTTCTCTCGATTGGACTCATACCTATCACAAACAAAGAGTCATTTTTATGATGAGCCTCACCATAGGCTAACGCACTTCAAAAAATAGGTTCTCTCGATTGGACTCATACCTACCACAAACAAAGAGTCACCACCACTCAAGCATGTCATTTTTCGCGTGGTGTTGGATGAGCCGTTTGATGTTGGTTCATTGAATTTTTATGTTGCGATGTCATTCATGGGTATCTTCAAACCAGTTTTATATCTTATGTTCATGTTGGCGGTGGTTGCGGGATTATCGTCCGCATAATAAAGAAGGCATCAACTCACACATATATACATTTGAAAGTAAACATAGATCAAAAGCAAAATATATATTCAGATGGTTTTGGCCTGCCTGGTTAATTGATACTGAACTTTCCTTGCACAGGTCTATATATATTCTCCCGTCCTAGCGCCTAGCAAAACATCAACCAAAATGTTTTTGATTATGCCAAGGATATGCGCTTCCAAGGTTCAGTCAGTCTACTGTCTTAAAAACACACGTATCTACACGGTCACATATACATCTGCACCCGACTAGATGGCAGTATTCATCAAAAGGATACCATTTACATTTTTTCATACTAATCAAGTAAGTGGTCCCCATAAATTGTGTTGTCACAACTTGTTAACAGTCAGGAAACGAACACAAAATACAATCTCTTGAGGCTCATTTGCAAACTGTCTTCAGCCTCTTTGCAGCCTGAACAAACCCAGTGATCACCTGCAATTCATCCAGTTGCTACACAACAAAACAAAAAATGACCATTGAGATACAACGAATTTTTGTAATTTTGCAATACAAATGGAATATTCTGTAATTACATATTGACATTCAACAATGAGGATAAATATCTGTTAAAATACATAATATAGGACTAAAAAAGTACCTGTGATATGAAATGCCTCTGCACAACGTCAATCAGTTGTTCCTTAGAAGGGTTCGGAATGGCGTCCACCTATTATGGCACAAAATGGGTAGTCAGTCCAAAGATGCTGAACAAGATCCTATGTCCTGATAAACTACAAATTCAGGGTCCTTTTTGTGTATTTCATGGCCACTCACAAGGTTAAAGTGCATCAAGTATCTCCATAGAGCAGCCATCTCCAGTTTGCTGAGGTCAACCTTCAGGACAACAAAGTTATGAATTAAAAATAAAAAAAATCAATGCAGTATGTCATTAACAGTATTAGTTGCACAATAGCAACATGACAGTTTTAAATGAGGATGAAACACAAAATCTACCTCTTACTTCGACTATGTCTCAATAAATAAATAGTAATAATTTTCAAAATTGTGGATAAACCCAGCACTTGTTTTACTTTTGCAAGGGCGGGTAACACTTAGGTCATCTCTAACCACAAAACTCATTGCTAATTTACACTAATCATTCTCGAATTCTAAAGAATATTCTTGGAATATTACTTTCTATTTTCAACT